TCTCGGCTCACCGCAACCTCCGCCTGCTGGGTTCAAGCAATTCTCCTGCCTCAGCCTCCCGAGTAGTTGGGATTACAGGCACGCGCCACCATGCCCAGCTGATTTTTTGTATTTTTAGTAAAGACGGGGTTTCACCTTGTTGACCAGGATGGTCTCGATCTCTTGACCTCGTGATCCACCCGCCTCGGCCTCCCACAGTGCTGGGATTACAGGCTTGAGCCACCGTGCCCGGCCTTGACAGTGGATTTTCAACTCTTGAGAAGGAGGCAGCTTAGAAGAGAAAGCAATGATAAAATAAAAAGGAAGCTCACTGGTCTATGGGAAGTAATTTTTAATTAATAAACATTTCCAATTAAACGACAACTTCCCTTTTTCCAAAATGCAGCACAAGAAAGTTCTGCTCAGCCTGGTCCAGTGAACAGGGAAAGGGGCTGGGAGACAGAATACTCGTTTCATCCTTTCTCTTTCAATGATTAGACAAGTTTTGATTTCAAATCACCAGGGGATCTTGCTACAAATACAAATTTTGCATATAATGCAAATTATAGTGGGTTTAGGGTAGGACTTAAAGGCTGTATTGTTTTTTATTTAGAGATGGGGTCTTGCTATCTTCTACAGGCTGGCCTCAAACTCCTGGGTTCAAGCAATCCTCCTGCCTCAGCCTTCCGATTAGCTGGGATTACAGATGTGAGCCACTGTGCCCAGCTCAAAAGTCTGCATTTCTAATGAGCTCACAAAGAATGCCAAATGTGCTGGTCTATGGACCACACTTTGAGTAGCAAGATTTAGATGACCTGGAATAACATCATGCCACCTTGTGTGCATTAGATCTGATGCCCATAAGATGAAGGTAATAATACCACGGCATTTATGCTTAAACACATGATAAACACATAAAGTGATATTTATGTTAAAGTGCCTGAATTCCTGCGGACAGGTGATACATATATGTGTGGGAATGTATATGTATGTCCACGTAGTATCATCTCCTTACCTTCCTAGGGACCTTTTATTTCAAGCTACAACCAAAAAAGCTTTATAAACAAGCATATTTTAAATACGTGTTTGTATAAATTAATACCTATTCAGTTTAGGAACTCTGATTCTAAAGAAGAGAACACTGATTTGGGGACACATCAATACAAAACAACTACACATACTCACTAATTTGAATTAAAGACTTGGCTGGGTGCAGTGGATTACACTTGTAATGCCAACAGTTTGGGAGGCTGAAGTAGGAGGATCACTTGAGGCCAGGAGTTTGAGACCAGCCTGGGCAACGTAGGGAGACTCCATCTCTACAAAAATTTAAAAAATCAGCTGGGCATGGTGATGCAAGCCTGTAGTTCCAGCTACTTGGGAAGCTGGGGCAGGAGGGTTGCTTGAACCCTCACTGCTGCGCTCCAGCCTGGATAAGTGAGGCTGTGTCACAAAAAACAAAAATAAATTGAGGACTGTGTACAGGCTCACTGGGTTGCGAGGAGGTATGCTAAAAAACGGTGTAAGATGTGAGTTCTTCCCTTAGGAGAGCACAAAGGAGGAGCCAACCTCTATATTAAACGTGGAAACAAAACACTAAGTATAAACATGACTAGAACAGGAAATACAACGCTGAATGATCAATGTGCTAGAGGAGATAAAATTTCTAAGGAGCAGGAATTCAGGTGAGAGTGACGGGCAACCCTATGGCTATTTACTCGTAATTGTTTTGTGGTCTTTCACTGTTACTGTCCCAACCTTTGCCCCACTCCAATCATCCATTTCCCCACCCAGAAGCCACAGTGATTTCATTAAAAAGTAAAGCAGATCACTTTATTCCTCAGCTTTAAAAAAATCTCCCAATGGCTCTTAGAATGAAACACAAACTCCTTATTGAGACCTATAATGTTCTCACTTTGGGAGGCTGAGGCGCGCAGATCACTTGAGCCCAAGGAGTTCAAGACCAGCATGGGCAACATGGAGAAACCCCAGCTCTACAAAAAATAAAAAATTAGCCAGGCGTGGTGGTGTGCACCTGTGGTCCCAGCTACGTGGGAGGATCACCTGAGCCTGGGAGTTGGAGGCTGCAGTGAGCCATGATGGTGCCACTGCACTCCAGCCTGGGCAACACAGCAAAGACCTTGTTTCAAAAAAACAAAGACCTATAATGTTGTAAATGACGCTAGCCCTACCTCCCTCTAGATCCCTCTGCCCCATCGTCTCCTACCACTTTCTTCCTGTCAGTTGGTTCTCCCAGCTGCAAACCGATTCCAGCTGGTGCCTTGTGAAGGGGCTCTGCCTCTTTGCCAGTGGGCTTCCTGTTAGGTTTCGCCAGTAGGGGTCGCTGTAGGGAAATGTGAACGAGGAAGCTTCTTTCCTCGCTCAGGGCAGTGGCCGCTGGCTCCAGTCTTCAGGTTCTTTTGGAACTTGGAGAACCAGCCTCATTAAGCCCCCTGCAGCCAGGGAGGCCCCTCCACAGATCTGACGACAGCTGCAGAAGGTCCCTCTGCCAGTCTCTCCTCCAACCCAAAGGGTGGTTGTCAATTTCTGTTATTATTATGGGGTAATTTCAACATCCCGCCCCGCTTCAGTGCCCTCACACTGGTGGAACTAATTCCTAAACTAAGTTCCTTCTGCTGAAATGTCAAACGGAATTTGTTTTACTGACCATACCTGAGTGACACAGCCCCTCACTGCCTTCGCTCCAGCTGCTCTGAGCACTTTTCCCCCTTGAACAGCGACCTTGTTATCATTTCAGAGTCCTGGCAATTCCATATGCCTGAACTGTCTCCCTGAAGCTCCTTACATGGCCCTAGGAGACTGGGAAGTTGGGATGGAAAAATCTTTCTTGCTTGCTTATATTTTACCTTGTAATTTAGAGCTCTACCTACCTATTTCTCCCAGAGGACTTGAGCTGAATAGTTTTGAGGACAGAGAGCTGAATTCTCCCCTAATTTGAACTTAGAATTTAGACCCTCTCTCCACCTACTTCCCAAAAAATCTAAAGTGCACAGGATTCAGTAAAAAGGCAGACTGGCTAAGAAATAAGATGGGACATGCCTAGTTTACAATGATAATCCAATAATCAAATGTAAAGATCTTGGGAAGGGCTAAAATTAGAAAATTTCTGTAAGTAGCTCTACATCAATTGCATAAAACATTATTCCTTTAGCACTGCAAATCTCTTCACAACCCTCACCTGTGCAGCAGAGGTCTTTGCCACTTGAATGATTTTCTCCATAGAAAGGTAGCTCTGCTGGGCGGGTGCAGGGCCGATGGAATATGCTTCATCTGCCTGTTTAAGAAACATTACATGCTTAAAAGACTGTGACTAGTACATACTCAGACACTATACAGAACTGCTGTGGGGTCATTTTATTATTGTGAATAAAAATGCCAGCCCCTCAAGCACAGTGCAAGAATTCCCAAACTGAAGTGTCAGTGTATGTCTATGTTATAAAAATAAGCCAGTCTTAGAATCTTTTGCATGAAGAGAGTAACAGAACTTGGTTTTCATGCATAAGCCACACACTGGTGTGAAAGTACAGTGTTTCAGGATAGAAAGTAACAGGGATTAGTCATATTATTCCTAAAACAATCATAACCTTAAAAGTATTTAATGCCAAAAATTTATATTTAATAATAGAAACAAAATACATGACAGATGTACAAAGGAAGAAAAAAGCTTACAACGTTGATTAAACTGTATATAATTATCAGAGTATGATAATGCTTTCATACATTAGTGAATTATTTTATACTATTCTTTAAATTTTTCACATAATCATAGCATCCCTTGAAGTAGACCAAATAAAGCACATCGTTCATTCATCCCAATACTTACTGAAGGCCTACCATGTGCCACTCTTTCAGGTGGGAGCTGCCTGTACCACAGTGAACAAGACAAATGTCCCTGACCAGGGGGAGAGACAGAGATTAAACACTTAATGACAGCTGTGATGAACGTCATGAAGGGAAAACCAAGGGCATAACGGCTGCAGGAGGAAGGCCTGATCTGGTCTGATGGTGGTCAGGAGGCACCTAGGAGGGAAGTCAGGGGAGGCTCCTCAAGGATGACCAAGACTTTGCCTGGCAAACAGATCAGAATGTGGAGTTGGGAATAGGAATGGAGCGGAGGATGAGTCTCTCAGGCAGAGAAAACAACCTACATAAAGGTGGGAAGAAACCTGGTCCATCTGAGCAACTGAAGGTGGCTTGTGTGGCTGGAACACAGTGAGCAAGGGGTCCAGGGGCCAGAAAGGATGCTGGACAGAAAGCTGGGCACAGATTTCAAGGGCCTGTGAGAGTTTACAAGCTTTGGGCTTTCTCCTAAGGGAGGACACAAAGAGATCATTTAAATTTTTTTTTTTAGGGGGGATGAGTCTTGCTCTGTCGCCCCAGGCTGGAGTGCAGTGGTGCAATCTCGGCTCACTGCAACCTCTGCCTCCCAGGTTCAAGCAATTCTCCTGCCTCGCTGCCCCCTAAACGCCCCCCCAACCCCCGCAGTAGCTGAGATTACAGGCGTGTGCCACCATGCCCAGCTAAATTTATGTATTTTTAGTAGAGACGGGGTTTCACCATGTTGGCCAGGCTGGTCTCGAACTCCTGACCTCAGGCGATCCGCCCGCCTCAGCCTCTGAAAGTGCTGGGATTACAGGGATGAGCCACTGCACCCAGCCTGTTTTTTCCTTTTACCTCCACAAAACACAGATCTTTTCTCGTTCTAAAGAACGTGATTATTATAATACAAATGCAGAGTAGCCCTTTGGTGCTCCCACCATTGCACTCACCCTCCAGACAGAACATTACTACAATCAACTTGGGACATGCTGTTCCATATCCACATTCCTAACTATTCATACAGATTTGCATAAACACACGCAGTTTTCATTCTTGTTTTTATAGAAACAGGATCACACTACATAGCTATCTTCTGCAATTGCTTTTTTCATTAACGGTACATCCTGGGAGCTCTTTTTCTTGCTAGTACACAGGCCTACCTCATTTTGTATAACATTTGCAAAACATTCCGTAGTATGGAGGCATCACACAGTTCATTTAATCACGGATCTCTTAATGTGCACTTAGGTTATAGCGGCAGAAAACTGGATGTGGGCAAGGCTGAAGGATATGCAAGTTTAATAGCTTCTGGGTAATCAGCCTTGAAATAGTTTTACCAATATATATTTCCATCAACATACCAATTTCTTTTTTTCTTTTTTTTTTTTTTTTTTTTT